CATCCAACCCTCTGAACAACAATCTCAATATATGTGGTCAATGGCATCCCAATATAATATGCCAAACTCATTTGGCATGCCTTTTCAACAAAGTAATATCATGCCAACAACGATGAGTACAGGCTCGCAAGATGCTGTAAGAGCTAGTACAGGACCAGAGGTTGAAGTACTTGACCATATTTATCTTAACAAAGATATTGAAAAAAATAAGGCAGCTGAGCCAAAGAGAGGTGGAAAATCGTCTGCAAAATCGTGGACACAAGACGAGGATATGTTGCTTTGCCGAGCTTTCTGCACTATCTCTAGTGATCCGATTGTTGGGGCTCAACAAAGTTCAGATGGCTTCTGGAGGCGAATCACCCTATACTACAACGAAAATGCTCAAGCTCAGAACTTTATTGAAAGGTCCATGGAGTCGGCAAAATCTCATTTTTATGCTTTTCATGGAGATTGTCTAAAATTCAATGCATCGATAAATAGGTTCCGAGCTGACCAGAGGAGTGGTGAAAATGATGCTATTGTGTTGCAAAATGCATTAATGGAGTGGAATAGTGATGGTAAGAAAAAAGGAGCCTTCAAATGGCTCCACTGTTGGGAAATTCTAAAAAACAGTCCTAAATTCCAAGGTCCGTCAACGACAAGTCGAGGAGGTAAAAAGTCTAAAACGTCTGAATTTGGAGATCACACTTCTGGATCTGGCCAAGATTTGGAGCAAGTTTTTGATGATGGTGAGAGATATGTGCGTCGCCCAATTGGTCAGAAGGCGGCAAAGGCAGGGAAGAGAAAGGTAAAATGTGGCATGGGAAGTAACACTGATCAGAAAGCTGAACGTATGTTAGAAGTCTTTGGGCATATTAAGGATATACATGAAAAACAACAGGTTGAACTTAAAAAGTTGGTTCGTATGGAGTCTTGGAAGACCTATCGAGAAATGCTAAAGGAGGACACTTCAGCAATGACTGAAGAAGAATTAGAAGCTCACTATGCGCTTTTTGCTGAACTGAAAGAGGAATTGGGTCTAAATTGATTTTTTAATAATTTTCTAATAATGATTATCTATTGTACTTTATTTAAAGTAATTTGTGTTGTCCTTAATTTTAATTTGTACTTGTTTTTTATTTTTATATACTCGATTTCTCCTTTATGTTTAATTTGAAATTTTACCATATTTAATTTTATTTTATTTTGTGTACCATATTCTACATGCACTAAATACATGTCTATGAAATACATTATTTAGTTATGTGCAAATTCAATGACAACCTACCTAAAAAAATGACAACCTACCAAGAAGTAAATGAAAGGTAGGTATAGTGATTCACGTTTTTCCCACCTAACTTAGTAGATTCTATCTTTTTTCATTATAAATAGATGTCATTTCATGGATTCTCATACACACACTACAATCTTCACCAAATAATTTCACGTTTTGCATCTTATTTTACTTTTCTTTTGTAGTATTTTATAACTTTTCTTCTTTTAAGATGTCTAGGAGTACCAATGAAAGAGTAGCGTATCGTGCTTTCTTAAAAAACATGCTTGATGATTCTTTGGTGCAGGCTGAATTTTCTCTGATGGAGGCTGTGATTAATCAGTTCAAAGAAGACGAACAATGTGAAAATTCAAGTAGGCGAGAAAGGCGAGTAGTCCATCGAGGTCGTGATGTTGGACATGCTCTACTAATAAGAGATTATTTTGCTACCGAACCCACCTATCACGAGGGCTTTTTTCGCCGTAGGTTTCGTATGTCGAGACGTTTATTTTCTCGTATTGTTGATTCAATTGAAAATCATTCTGATTATTTCAAGAGCAAAACAGATGCATCCGGTAGACAGGGCTTTTCACCCATTCAGAAGTGTACTGCGGCTATACGCCAACTAGCTTACGGAGCACCTACCGATCAATGTGATGAATACTTGCGCATGTCTGAACAAACAACAAATAGAAGTCTTATGGAGTTTTGTCGAGCTGTGTGTGAGGTATTTGTATCTCAATACTTACGTTCACCTAATTCTGCTGACATCCAACGACTACTTGCATTGCACGAGGAGAAGCATGGTTTTCCCGGAATGTTGGGGAGCCTTGATTGTATGCATTGGGAGTGGAAAAATTGTCCTGTTGCTTGGCAAGGCTCGTACACTCGAGGTGATCATGGTGTACCAACGATAATGCTTGAAGCTGTAGCCTCACAAGACTTGTGGATCTGGCATGCATTTTTTGGACTTGCTGGGTCACGAAATGATATTAATGTATTGCACGAGTCCCCATTGTTTAACGATGTCTTACACGGGGTAGCACCAGAGGTAAATTTTACAGTGAATGGAACTCAATATAATAAGGGATATTATTCAACAGATGGCATCTATCCGGAATGGGCAACGTTTGTCAAGAGTTTTCAGTGCCCAGATGATCCAAAAAGAAAAAAGTTCAAGCAACGACAAGAGGCTGCAAGAAAAGATGTTGAGCATGCTTTTGGGGTGCTCCAGTCAAGATGGGCTATTGTACGTGGCCCGGCTCGTTTATGGTATAAAGAAGATCTTAATGAAATAATGTTATCATGTATTATTTTACATAATATGATAGTTGAGGATGAAGGTGATGATGCAACAAAATGGTCCACTGAAGAGACTGAGCCTCCAATCCAAGCACGACAAGGTCATCCAGAAAATTTTCGTCGGTACTTATAAATAAGATCCGAGATGCAAGATCGACAAGTTCATCATCAACTTAGGCACGACCTAGTTGAGCATATTTGGAATGAGGCTAATTAACAAGAGTGTAATAAAATTGTTAATCTATTTTTTATTTCATCGTCTTTTCTACGTGCAATATTATGTATTTTTTTTTTAATTTGAAATTGTAAAAGTACCACAATTTTTGTTAGCGTTTATTCTAATGAAACACTCATTTTCATCTTTATTTTTTTTTTATTTTTTCCGACAATCCATCTAACAATAAAATTGATTTTTTTAATGCTAAATTAATTCAAGTTTTAATTTGACGGAAATAACATACCTTAACTTATCTTGTTCGAGCAACATTTGTTGGCGTTCGTTCTACTTAAAAAAATCGTTCACTTTTTTTTTTTCGAAAACATATTTACTCGTTCTTGTACTATAAAATTGAATTAATTTGATTTATAATTAATTCTAATTTTATTTTAATTAATAATCTATAATTATAAATAAAGATAAAAGTGGAGTTATAGTTTTAAAATATTATAAGAATATAATATTAATTATAAAGGTAAGTAGGAAACATGTGGGACCCATGGAAAAAAAGGTTGATGATGTTTATTGTTATTGGAGGTTTATGAGGGTAGGAGTAAGAATGAGGTTTTGGGTGATGTGGCATATTGGGAATAGAGAAAGGAGGTTTGTGTATTTTTGTTAGTAGAGATGCTCTAAGCTTGTCCATCTGCCATATCTCATTTTGTAATATATGTTTAGGGTCAGTTTGGTTGAATTAATGGATTGAACATGATATAATCTTTTTTTATTGTTTCAAGGGCTATCCTTTCTATTTGGGTAGAATAATATCTTGTTTGGTTTAAAATTGAAAATTATATCCTTCAAGCAGAAATTACTTTCCATCCTTCCTTTGAAATTAAATTTTCAAAATTAGTCCAACACAGATTGAGAAAATGGAGCTTGGGAAAACCAAAATGACGGATCCCAGCAATACGATTTCTTCAGCCGCCGCCTTCGACATTGATGGGCTGAGAAAATCGGCCAATCCGATATAGCTTTATCCACCAGATCCGAAGCTTAATTGAAAGAAAAATCTTGATTTCCACAAGATCTGAAGGCTTCGGTGCTGTTTGCGAAATTTAAAATAAAAACATGAAGAAGCATGATATTGTTTATGAAATTTAGAAACAAAAAAGATGAAGGAAAGGCAAGAAGGCACGGAGAAGAGAAAGGGTGTTTATGAACTTCTGAAAAAAAAAAAAAAAGAGATAAAAGAAAAATGTTGTTGATGTTTGATAACAAAAAGAAGATGAATGAAGGACAGGAGGAAGCACGAAGAAGATGATGGGTTATTTTGTAAATTTAAATAAAAAATAAAGTTGGATTATCCATCCCACCTATGAGATGAGATACCTAATACTAAAGTTTGTTAATAATTGAACGGGCCTGTCTATTTTACCGGGCTTATATGGTCCAAACCAAACATCTTTATAGGCATGAAATAATAACAAAAGGCTGGATATCCCTCCTAATCTGGCCAACCAAACGGACCCTTAGTATTTATCGCATAAGAATAAGATACAGAGTTAAAAAAAAAAAAAAGGAAAATAAAGAAGAAAGATGGAATAATAATTGCCAAGAATCTTTACAGAATTACAGTTGTGCATTTGTTGTGAAGTGAAGCACTCCTCAAGGCTAAAGTCAGATGGAATAATAATCTTTACAGAATAAGTAGTATTCTAACAGTATCCCACATCGAAATTGGTTAGAAAGATGGTAAAACAGAAGGCTATAAAATACCAGAACCCACACTAGCATAAGTATACCTTTCTCGGCCTTTTGGCTAAGATCAAGTGTAGTATCTGTTCTTATCAGTTTAATATCTGATACGTGGGCCAATGGCCCACTCGATATTAAATTAATTTTTTTAGGGGGAAGGCCCAATAGGTAGCTTGCTGCCTGGGCCTTCGAGTGTCGCCCTTGCGTTGCACTACTGCATGGGCCTGGCGCACCCCACCAATTCAGAGATTAAAATTGTTATCGGCTTTCGTTTTTTCTACCGAGTCCAAGACTAGGCCAAGTGAAATTCTAACTAAATTATAGTACAACACAACAAAAACACACGGTTACACACGCACAATCAAACAATCCGTAAAAAAAAAAGAATAAAAAACGAGGAAAGAAACTGTACACATTACGGGCAATCTCGCGGTCGACCTCCATCTCGTGGTAGCGGTCGACCTCCATCTCGTGTTAGCCACCACCTCCGTCACGCCTCCGCCGTGCCTTACAAAATTTCGAGAACAATACCTCCGTCACGCCTCCGCCGTGCCTTACAAAATTTCGAGAACAATCCGTCTGTCCGCCTCCGCCGCCCGTTCTTTCCTCCACTGTAACCCGCCGCTCGTTCTTTCCTTCATTGTAACCACGTTCTCTTCTGCCGAGCGGTTCACGGCGGCAAAAATAATGGCTCTGAGATGAACATGAAAGTGGGTTTGAATTTTAGTTGCTTAATACAATTCGATTAACAAATCGAATAATTCTATATTTCATTTTGGTTTTAGTTTTGATTTATACATAAATAAAAAAAAAATAAATAATAGTTTTGGTTAGTTCACGTTAGTGACTATCACATTGCACAAAAATGTTAGAACGCACATTAATACATTTGAGAACTCACACTAGTATAACATTGTGCATTTCACATATATTAGATTTGGTTATTTCGTTTCGGTTTTGGATTTATTTATAAAATAAAAAATAAACAATAAAATAACAAAACTGACCGAACTATATAAATAAATTATATTATTTATTTTCAACAAACAATAATATAAAATATTAAAATAAGTTTATACTAACTACAATTTATAATAATAAATAATAAAGTAATTTAAGTATTTAGGTTAATTCGACAATTATTACGATTAAAAATAGTCTTTGAATACACAATTTATTCGGGGATCTATAAACTAGTGCACCTTACAGAATAATGAGTTGCACTTTATAAAATAACACGTTGCATTTTATAAAACAACAAGTTACATTTTATCGTCACATCCCACAATTAACGCCAAAATACCAAACAACATAAATCTAAAAAATGAATCTACATAATATTTTAACATCCATTATATTTGTCCACATAAAACACAAGCATACTAAAATACCAAAGATACAGTAATGTACTTTATAAATCAACAAGTTGCACTGTATAAAACAATACGTTGCACTTTATCATATAACACTTGCACTTTATCGCGACTATAAGATCACCCGAATAGAGAATGAAACGAACGGAACTCATTTTTTAGGCAAAAATATTATAAAAATAATA